ATTGAAATATTAAAAATAACTTCTTAGCGCGATAATATAGGACTAGATAATATATCCCTAACATTAATATAATGACAACAATAATCTAATATCTATTGGACTTTGATTCACACATACAATTTCCCCCTTAAGGAGTTTCTTAGGGTTTGGTATCCGACCTTATATAAAGATATATTTTATTTTATATAAATAAAAATAAATTCTTATTACAACCAATTTTCAATAAGTTTGTTGATTTTGCTGAACTTAGGTTTTTTTATTTAAAACATAAACTTATAAAAATATTTATTTAAATCAGATCTCAAGATCTTCATTATACATTACAGATGGACATTGAAGATATCTGTAATATGAATAATTTTTTATAAAAATATTTATTAAAGTTTATTTTAGTGTTGCCGAAAAAGCTAAGTTTTCTTTATAATGGCAAAGAAGCTATCTTTAAAATTTAGAGGTTTCTCGAATAGCAAACAAAGAAAGGACGAACACAAAAATTTATTTAATTTTTGGGTGTTTCACTTCTAATTTGACAGGTACGAGTTCTAAGCCTGACACTTGCAGTCCAAACAAATTATATACAGACTATAAACTAATTAAAATTCGATTATTTTCTAAGAAAACTGATGATGAGTACTTGGTAATACTCGAAACAGCGTTGTATGGTCAACCAAATTTCAATAAATTAAATAAATTATTGTACTTGTCCTTTCTTTCTTTGCTATTCGATACCCCTCTAAAAAATATTTATTTAAAAAACATTTTTATTTATTAAAAAACATTTTAAGTGTTAATCTGCAGATGGTTCCTGGCATAGAGAACTGCGATAAGACAGATCGCATGAACATGGAACTTTTCTTTGTGAGAAAATTCGAAGTCCTCATTCTTGACCGATTGGACTGAGACAATGGCACTTCTGGCTAAGAACCAAAAGTGATTTCGTGGTACACCGACGGTTAAAAGACTAAAGAAGAGGTTGGTGCAGGGGTATTTGGTCCTAATACAAGAATCTTGCTCGCACTGGGTATATAGCCCACTGTCTTCCAAGCGGAGATTCAGGCCATTCAGGTCTGCGCTCGAATCAATATTAGTAATGCGTTGAAAGACGCCCGTATCTGTATTTACTCAGATAGTTAAGCAACAATCAAAGCATTATCCTCCTGGAAGTTTTCTTCAAAGCTTCTGTTAGACTGCTAGAATACGCTACAGCGGCTGGCAAGCAGCTGGGTACCTGGTTACACAGGAATCAATAGTAATGAGTCTGCAGACAATTTTGCGAGGACAGGATCTGTCATTCAGCTCTGTGGATTGAAGCCATATTGTGGATTAAGTCGGTCTACAACTAGTTGTCTAACTAACCCAGAAATTAAACTCGTTTACTAAGAAATTTACTAAGGTTTAGTATTTAAAATTTTTTCTTATAGTGGAGTATTTCTGATTTTAGTCTTTTACTTCATAGACAAACACAAAAACAGAAAGAAACTCTTAAAAACACTGACTCAAAAAAGAAGTATCTCTCCAAAGGAATTTTCTAGTGCTAGAATTTCCCTTATCCTACAGTATTTACGACTTTGGTTCTTTACTTTATATACCTTATGCCTTATGTACATAACTGAGAAAGAAAGCATAACCAATAGAAAGAAAGGTTTATAAAGACTAAGCTAAAAATAAAGCGCTTCTCTTATGAAGTTTCCAAAGCCTTAATTCTGGAATTTGTATTATCTCAGAGTATTTTATTCTTTATCTTTATAAGTATGAAAAAAAAACAGAAAGAAACTTTTATCTAGACTGGCTTAAAAATGCAACGTCTCCATTAAGGAGTTTACCAAAGTTCTGTACTAGAATTTCTTTAGCCGTTTGCTTTGTTTGATTAAAGCTTAGAAATTAGAATAATATCGGTGTTCTGCAATATTCTCATAATATTATTTTTGTAGTTAAAAAAAAATAGTAAGTGAGTCTAAACCTTCAGAGGCAGAACTTAGGCGGTGCTTAGAACTTAGATATGGAAAATGTGCGAAAAGTTCTGCACTCAAACCACAAACATAATTTCTCGATTTTATAAATAATATTTTCATAAATAATGTCTTTACAAAAGAATAGTATAGAAATTTAAGAATTAAAAATAAGTAAAATAAAAATAAATAATAATATATTAATTCAATTATTCTACAGCTGGTTTATGATTTCGTTCTAATATATAACACATTTTAACACAACTCCAAGTTTGAACATACAACTCGCGTACGGCTTTGGGTTGACCCATAAATAAATACCATACAGTCTCTGAGCTTCAAATTTGGTAGGGCACAAGTTCAGCTCTTGGAACTTGCAGTCTCAAAAAATAATTTATGAATAATTATATATAAGAATTATTTCCAAAACCACTGATGATGGGTATTTGGGAATACTCAAAACAGTTGTACGGCCAGCCAGAAATTTAATTAATTAAAAATAATAAAAAAAAATGTTTGTTATTGCAATTTCACTAATGTTCTGTGAAAATCTCTCTATTGAAAACCATAGTTTATATTAAGAATTTAGTTCTTTCTCAAAACTGAACAATAGAAATCAAAATAAACAATGCTTTTAAATTCAATTCAGAAAAAGATCGGTTATTTTCATAAATTATAGGTAAATTATATATAATATTTTATTTCATCGGTTGACTTTCAGTATTTGCGAAAATGGAGGGTAACAATCATCTTAGTGAAATTAAATTTTTGGTTTTGTAGAACAATATGTTATTGTAAATTAAATTAAAATTAAATAAAATTTACAAAAACTCTATAACATACGTAGTTTTATACGTACGAGTATAAGATGGAGTAGGAATATGGGAGGTTTATTTCAAACAAGGTCCACCAGGTTAATGGTTTGATCAAAATACAATTTTCAATTATCAGAAATAATTGTGAAACTAATGAAAACATCGAAAAAGTGGATTCAATGATATTGAATAATTGTTGACAAAAGATCAGAAAATGCCAAACCTTATCGAAGGCTTGTGATACATCTAGGAAGACGGCATAACACACTTTTTCCCTTGCATCGCCGATTCAATGGCATTTACAATTATGTGTATTTCATCGATGGTGTTTTCTGAAGCCGAATTCATGGTAATAAACGCGCTAGTAGTAGTTTTTCAAAAAGCTTCGATAAGGTTTGCAATAGTTATATTGGCCTATATGAGGATACTTCATTGGAAGACTTCCCCGGTTTGGGTATCATAATTACCTCATCGAATTTCCAGAATATGGGTACATGTTTCAAACGGAGGCACGAATTTATTAAATCGCATATATGGATTATGCAGTTATTGAGTAAGTTTCATAGAACTTCAGCCGTTGTCAAGTCAAAACCAGGAAATTTTTTGAGTTTAATTTTCAGAATTTGTTCACTCACTTCTTCTGTAGTGACTGGAACAATTGCAGTGCCGCCTTCGGCCCAATTTGTACTTGACCCAATAACATCTTTGCCTTCATTTGGACTGAAAGTTTTTACTTGGAACTCAACATAATTTAATACTTCATACTTAAGTAGATTGGAAGTGTACGTTTAAGACGTTTTTTCACCCTAGTTTCAAGGCAAGAAGTCTTCTCATTTCTAAGTTTGTATGCTGAAGCAATTTAAATAATTGATTATCAAATCTTTTTTGAATTGTTTCATGTATAGTAAGGATATTCAAGTCTTTTTGCATATCATCACTTCTGATGTACTATCTAGCATCTACTATCGTTCGCAGGATTTTTGATTGCAGCTTTTGGATAGTATTTATATTATATTGCAGGTGGTTCCCCATATTTCAATTCCATATTTCCAAATCGGAACAATAACAGTTTTGTAAATTAGTAGTTTGTTATCTATTGACAGACT